TGCCCAGAGCCTGACGCGGGGCTCGAACTCACGCACCGCGAGATCGTGACCTGGCTGAAGTCGGACGCTTAACCGACTGAGCCACCCAGGCGCCCCTCACAACCATTTTTTTTAAAACGCAGCACTCACAACTAGAACATTCTGTGGCCAGTACTTCATCCCGTTTTAGAGACCAGCCGGGTCAGCCCATGAGGAGTCCTTGCCACCCCAGCCGTCAGCCAGGTGCTTCTCTGTACTGACCCGGGACCGTGCAGTCCACCCGCCAGTGCTCAGGCCTTGGTTGTTTCCAGGCCCTGGTGCAGGGAGCCACCTGGCCCTTGCCACCACGCACCTGTGCGGTATGCTCAGCACTGATTTTGGAGTGGTCAGTGCTGGGCCAAAGGGCAAGTGTCCCCTTCCCTTGCCCCACCCAACCTGTGGAGGGGTCTCTGCTAACCTGATGGGGAGAGAGGGTACGTGGGTGTGGGCCGTAGCTGTCCCATCACATGTGTGGCAGGCCACTTAGATTTCCTCTTCTGTGAGCTATCAGCTTCTGGATCATTCCACAGCCCACGCATCCCTCATTCCTCACCAGGACTAAATGACAGAGGTGACTCATCCAATGGAGGCCAGCTGTCTGAATCTTGAAGAAGACACAAAACTGAGCCAAGTTGCAATGAGACGAGGCGCGGGCTCAGTGGAAGCCCTGCACGTGAAAACCGCAGACAGATGGCTCTGCGTCCAGTGACCATCTTTACCACCTGTGTCCCTCACGTTGCCTCCCTGGTGGAAGTCACTCAGGACATGAAAGGCTGTGAGAAGCATGATTCTGAGGGAAAACAGCGTGGCTCGTGGTCCCACAACACGATCGTTCCATCCATTAAAACATTAAATATTGATTTTGGAATAATTTTAGAGGCACAGACAAGTTGCAGAGACAGTACGAGGGGCTGCTGGGTAGCCTGGACACAGCTTTTCCCAATGTCCACGTCCACACACTGGGCTCCGTTTGTCCAGAAGCTTAGCTTGGGGAAAATGTCACTGGCCACAGACTCAGGTTTTACCCACATCTGATGTGGGGCACCATAATGTGTTTAGTAAACATGGAATTTTAATGTTTGTGCCCAGAAATCTATCAAAGGACAGGAGAGAGAATTTGGTTATCTTGGCAAGTTTTTTTTTCTTTACAAAGAAATAAACACTTTAATTCCGGATGTTTTCAATAAGGGGCAGGACCGGAGGGGGCACAGGGCTCCCACCGTCCAGGGCTGGGTCATGTGAGCAGCGCCCGTGGAGGGTGGGTGCGTGGAAGACGGGAAGGCATGTGCGGCCTTCCCCCAGAGAGCCTCGGACCCCGTGAAGCCCTCTGGGCTCACCGAGAGTGAGCAGCACAGAACGGGTCTTCACCGCCATCAGGGAGCCCTTCCGGGTCGAGGCCCCAGTTTGGTCTGTTGGGCCACTGATTAAATCATTGGATAGAGAAATAGTGCCTTAAAACAAGACTGCCTGTTGATGTCTCTCCACTGTGGCCTGACACCCTCTGACCTTAGGTCACCCCTGGCCCTTTTTCCTGATGACCGCAGTATATCACCTATCACTGCATAACAAACAACCTAAACCACGTGGCTCAAAATGACAGTAAACACTTATCAATTCTATTGGCGTTGGTGGGTCAGGAATTTAGGCGCAGCCTGGCTCTGGTCAAGGTCTCTGGTGAGGCGGGGGCTGCAGTCTCACCTGACGGCTGGACAGGCAGGGATCCACTCCCTCATTCTACCTCGAGGCAGGCTGGTGCCGGCTGCCGGCTGGCAGCCTCCGCTGCTGCCCACGCGGGGCTCTCCACACTACGGCCTAAGGGTCCTCGCCACGTGGTAGCGGCTACCCCAGAGCCAGCGGCCCAGGAGGGAAAGGCAGACCTGACCCTGGAGGTCGCCCTCTTCGTTTCTGGTGTCCCAGTGGCACGTCACCGGGTCAGCCCCAAGCAAAGGGCACAGGTGTGCAGTGAAGGAACACCCAGATGTGACCGTTCCCCTGGGAGCTGGCTGTCACAAGTGTGTTCCTTGTTGGACGGTGCCACCTCCCTGGTTGACATGC